CTGAGTAATAATGAAGGGCCAGCATAGGTTCACGGATCGTAACAAATGTACCACTCTGGTGCCCGACAGTGGGGGAGGCTATGGGGCGGGGGACAGAGAGTACATGGGAACTGTATACTATCTGCTCAATCTTACTATGAACCTACTAAAACTACTCTAAAAAAATCAAGTCTATTTTTGAAAAAAGAGTTAAGTGCTACAGGATACACACTTGGAGTCATGATTTTCAGGCCCACTTCTTCTTAACCCAATAATGTCAGGTTAAGCATTCAAGATCTTAAATGAAATCTTAAAAGTGTAAAAGAAGTATACGACACTAAAAAGTCCTGCTGGGCAACTGCTACTGATCATTCATACCCCTGCTAGAAAAGCTTAAACATCGGTTCTCCAAAGCCTTCTTGGTCATTTGGTTAATTAAGAAGGTTCTTAAGCTTGTTCCCTGTAAAATCCCACAACTTAGGGGAAATGTTAAGATAGTTACATAGCTGTGTCTCTTACCTTTCTCGGGGCACTGTACATCATATGTTATTTTGTTAATGACAAGCTTAAAATCATTCATTAGCAAAATTTCCATTAAGGTCGAAGCTGGAATTTCACTGCCATCTGAGAGAAAAAACATCATGTGAAAATATGTCCTTGTTTTAGACAGTAAAAACCATTTTTCCAACAGATAGAAAAATATTTACTAACTCGGGTCTTTACAATACAGGAGTGGACACTTTCATTTTGGGGGGGGGGGGCTCTCCAATACCCAATACTGTTCCCACAGTGAGGAATCCTTCCTTCCTGCTCTGCCTCCCATTACACTGGACCAAACAGAGCACGCAGGTGCTCCCTCTCCACACTCTGTCAGCTGGGCTGGGATCTAGGCAGATGTTCCTGGCAGGACTCTATCTACACAAGGTCACGCAAAGCTTCAGGGGACATGGGAACTCTTCACAGCAAGGCCAGAGCAGTGGAGGTGACACTTTGGGGCGGGAGGAGGAGGTGCGGGTATCAGCAACAAAGCCCATCAGGTAGATCCCAGGCTAACGTGGTCTTTGCTCATGTCCTCCCTCGGTTCCTGCCTTCTGAGCCTGGCTTTCTGTCAATTCCAATCTCCAGAGCCTACTGACATACTCCGTTGCTCAGCCAGAGTCCTTATTTGCTGCTGAGAGCTAAGCCCCTGACTGGTATGTGTAGGGCACACAGATAGTAACATTTAAAAGCCTTTTAATTATTAGAGGTGACTGATTTGTTCAAACTTGGTAGCCAAACAGCACCACCAACCACGACCACACAGGACTCCCTACTGTTCTAGCTGGGGAAAGGTGAAGAGAGGCGAATCTTCCAGGAGCTGGGGGCGGCAGGGACTGTAATAAACGTAATTAAACCCAAGGAGTCAGTCTGCATGTGTGTGGTTTTTATGGAGGTCGTAAATGGTAGGAGAGATTCTAATAGTAATTTCAAATATCCTAGGAACAATTCAAGGAAAAAGGAAAAAAAAAAAACCTCCTGGAAAATTTTAACCTCCGTGTGCTTTGCACAGTCTCTCAGATAGCCTGGTTTTTTATTTTGGAACTAAACTTTAATGGAACCCAGGTGTTGAGAAAGCAAACTATTTGAACAATAAGCAGAACACTGGCGGTGGGGGAGCGGGGGGGAGTTTCTCTATCATTCTCCCTTTAGAACAGTCCACAGAGAAGCGATATAAAGTCCAGGATGGTATGTTCACGCAGCCTGGCATTTGCCAGGCTACATCCAACACAGCTACTGCAGCTACATTAATATGCATGACAGCAGTAATGCTGCCAGTAAAATCAGGAAGAACCTGGTTGTCTGCCTGCTGTCTGGCTCTCTGTAGTTCTTTTGTTCCAGAAGGCAGCGAGTCAAGTCTGCACCTGGGTCTGTTCCTCGAATTTGGCTGTTTGGGTTCCTGTTCATCAGTTGGGGTGACATCATTTTCCCAGGAATTGCCAAATAATTCAACCCACACTATGGGCAAAACTGTGACAAGCTTAGAACACTCTTTTCAAGCCCAAATTAAAGGCAGGCAAATTCCGCCCACAGAACCTCTCTTTTTAAAGATCGGCAACACACCAATCATTTTATATGACTTTGCAAGTGTCATTTAAAAATTTACATTTAAATGACTTCAAACCTACTCCTTAAAATAGGGCTATAAAAAGCAATCACCTGGGTACGATTTCTCAGTCGAAGTACTACATTATCCTTTATACTAATACAGGAACAGCAGGAAATGGACACGAAACACTCTTTGAGGAGCTAATGATAGAGTCTTGAATTCTTCACCAATTCTTGGGTAAGTACTGATTTAAACCCCAATAAAGTGTTTTCACTCAGTCTAAAGAGCCCTTTTTCTCTAAGATTTCTAGTCTTTTCCTTTGTGCTTTATGTTTTAAAGCTACTCAGATTTTTAGAAACAAGCAGGGTCCATGTCAATCACCGCTTTAACCTCGTTTGTTTCATTCACTTAAGGGGCACTTACTGAGTCCACACCACCAGGCAAGGACTGTGCTCAGTGCCCTCCCCCCAGCCCAGGCACACGGGCTGGCAGCCAGTTGCCGGCTCTTAGAAGCTTAGGAAGGCAGGTGCTGGCCCAGGGCAGAAGGCCCACGGGCGTTCAGTGCTCCTGGGACTGTTCAGTCTAGTTCAGAGATGAAGTGCTAGGCCACTGTGGCCACAGGACTAAAACCTTCTTCTCGGATCCTGGTTTTGTCAGGAAAAAAGGTCCCCTTCCAGTTAAATTCAAAGTCCTTACCACAACTTACAGTAAAGTTTTCCTGACCTGTCCCTCCCATCCTACTTCACCCAGCTGCCTCCTTTGCAGCCACAGTGGCTGGGCTCCCACAGCTGGGCCTCTGCCAGGAGCGCCCTCCCATCGACACAGCTCCCCCTTCTCTTCCAGGCATTCCTAGAACCTGACCTTAGTGAGCATTCCCCGCCCCCCACCAACCCTGCCTCCCCGAGAGCATCTCCTCTCACACCTCCCCCCGTCACCCCCCATTCTGAAAGCACCTCCTCCCACAGCACCCACACTCCCACTCTGCAAGCATCTCTCCCTACACCGTGGTCCCCCACAGCACACTCCCAGACTCTGTGAGCGTCTCCCCGCCCCCGCCACACTCCCCAACACCACACTCCCCACTCTGTGAGCACCTCCCACCACACAACACACCCCCAACTCCAGAGCATCTCCCCCCACACCACATAAACACCCACTCCGCAGGCACCTCCCCAGCACCACAGCCCCCACTCTTTTTCTCTGTAATATTTATTATCTAACATACTACATATTTTCTTCACCTTTTTCTTCTTTTAGAAGATAACCTCAAAAAGAGCAGGACTTTTTTTTACCTCTACTGTTCTTTGCTCTGCCTCTGGCACCTAGAACAGTGCCTGGAATATGTTAGATGCTCAATTTGTTGAGTAATTCTTTTTTTTTAATTTAAATTCAATTAACTTATAGTGTATTATTAGTTTCAGAGAGAGTGTTTAGTGATTCATCAGTCTTACATAACACCCAGTGCTCATTACATCACATGCCCTCCCCAATGTCCAACACCCAATTACCCCAACCCCCCACCCTCCAGCAACCCTCAGTTTGTTTCCTAGAGTTAGGAGTCTCTTTATGGTTTGTCTCCCTCTCTGATTCTGTCTTATTTTTCTGTCCCTTCCCTTATGATCCTCTGTTTTGTTTCTTAAATTCCACATGTGAGTGAGATCGTATGATAACTATCTTTCTCTGACTTATTTCGCTCAGCATGAGACCCTCTAGTAAATAAATTCTTAATCTCTATTTTTCCAACTTCTATATCTACCCCTTATTTGGTTCTGAACTTGGACAGGGAAGAAGAAGGTTTATTTCCTTTTCAAAACTGAAACAGTAATCACTAATGCTTCAATAAGTTTATTCTAAGCATGTCATACTACAATAAAATAAAATTGCAAATTTGGTCATTTATCTCTTTTTGTAGCCTCTACGTTGGGCTAAAGAATTCTTTATTCTATTGTAGGGGCAGTAGGTCCAAGAACCACTTCAGACCATGAGGACATAAAAGCTAGATCCCAAAACTTGAAATGTCTAGTGATTAACCACCTCTACTGGTATTAAAAAATATATATATTCTTCCTGAAAACAATCCATCAAAAAACATACAAGACCATGATTGCTTTATAATAAAGATTAGTGAACTATTTATGTAATTATTCACTAGCTATTTTAATCATTAAAACTGCATTTTGTTTTCTAATTATTCAAACTGTGCTGAAAATTACATGCTAATGACTGTCATTAAAATATTCTCAGAAAAAAATTGGGGGTTAAGTTTATGAAATAAGTAACTGAAATTTACATTAAACTTATTCCACTAATTCTTTATTTAATAGTTAATTTTTTTCATATTACTGATATACAAAAATGGAGGACACAGTAAAGGCCAACCATTTATTATATAATGAATTAAAGAATCAACTGTATAGAATAAAAACAAAAAAATGTTCAAAAAAAGACAAGTGGAGGGGCGCCTGGGTGGCTCAGTTGTTGAGCGTCTGCCTTCGGCTCAGGTCATGATTCCAGGTCCTGGGATCGAGCCCCGCATCGGGCTCCCTGCTCCGCGGGAGGCCTGCTTCTCCCTCTAACCCTCCCCCCTCTCATGTGCTCTTTCTCTCTCTCATTCAGTCTCCCAAATAAATAACTAAAATCTTTAAAAAAAAAAAAAATGACTGCTACTGAAAACTATTATTTTACTATCTCAAAGTCATTTAAGACATTTTCCCCCATACAAAAGATATCCCCATGTAGAATACGGGAATGAAAAACAAAACTGTATAATACGAAATTAGCATCACACGTGTCAACTGTTTCACTGAGCAAAGCACAGTCCACAGAAGTCTATCGAGGACCAAGACTGAACTTGGGGATTTCCCCGATGCTATGTTCCGGCTCCCAGATGATCCCAAATGGGCAGTTATAAGGTGTCATGTTTGCAATACAGTACCTTAGCAAGATCTTCTTTTAACTTGTTGTACTGCACCACATCAAAATGCTGTTTCTTTGATTTCTTATGGAAGAAGTGAAGAAACTGCCTACTCTTAACAGCTGAGTAAGTATAATCCTAAAAGGAAAAAAAAAAAAAGAACATGTTTTAAATGAACATAATGTCCCTGCAAGAAAGACACTTGCCTAGCAACACTAAAGCAAAAGCAGGCAGATGAGTAAAATATTTGCAGTGGCCGGCAGAGCAAGCAGAAGGCAAAACAAGGAAAACATTTCATCTTGCGTGAGATCAGCTGCTGCTTTCAAAAGCAAGCAAGCTGGGAAGAGAAATCACACATATTCTTGATAGAAAGGAGCAAAAGAAAACTGTTTTGGCACAATAATCATGCAATGAAGCTAAAGTTACTGAGTGCTTTTGCAATACATATTCAATTTTATTTATAAAGACACAGAACAAAATTTGATGTGTTTATCTCCATGGAGAAATTTATGAGCTGTACTATTTATTTCCCTATAGAGGTTTTAGTTTTTCTGTGCTGTATATAAATCTATATCTTCGTGAAAAACAATAGCTAAATTTATCAGCTTATCAAAATCCAGAGAGCAATTCAGTAAATAAAAAAGGCTTTATTGCTCATTACTTCAGTTGGATAAGGAATTATTTGCAAAACATGTTCCAACTTCCCATTTTCCTAACAAACTACTTACCTGTCGAGTGACGATAAAGTATGCAAAAAAGACCATGGAATTTGTAAATGTGATGAAGTATGTCACTGGTTCCATAATATCCCAGGAGTACACCCACCAAGTGAGCCAGGCCAGTGCCCCGCCCTGAACAGATAGCAGTGCTAACCCGGTCCACAGAAGTCCGCTGATTTTGGCTTCTGAGCGAGTTTCGATGCCAGCTTTTATCTGAGGGGCAAAAACAGCCTGGTTCAGCTTACAGGCTACCAACTCATGGGGAAAGAAAAGAAAGAACAAAAGTAAAATAACACCTATCTGCATTATTTTAACGAGGTCTGATTTAGAGACAAGTTATGAAACAGACACATTCACGAGTGATCACTAATTTCCAAATCAGTTCATTAAATGAGTCATATAAATTATAAAGGTAATACCTGCTTGTGGGGGAAATAAATTAAGTAGTATAGAAAGCTATACAATGAAAAACTCAAGAGGTTGTCCTCTGAAATCTAAAATTACGTGCCTATTTTCTTTGCCCCAGCAACTGTACTTCTAGGAATGCGCCCCATAGGTATTCTTGCTCACACGCGGTTCATTGCAGATTCTCCAGAGTAAAAGACTGACACTTGTGCATGTATCTACCAAGCTCTTACGCAGCAGCAGTGAGGACACCACGTACCAACGTGGAGATCCTTCCAGGACACGTGGTTGGTGAAAAAAGGGAAGAATAGTACGTAATGGTGTATGCCCTTTTCGGAAGAGGGGAACAAAATAATCTATTTGTACTTGTGTGTACACAGATGAAGAAAATCTAACGTGATCCATGGGTGTGAGGATATGGTAGGAGGAGGAAAAGTTTCCATCGGCACCCTTCCAGACTTTCAAGTCTTAATGTGAGTCGGTATTATCACCAATTTTTTAAAAAGCAAAAAAAGAAAAAAAAAATGTGGATACACAATCCAACAAATAAAATTTAAAAGTCCCTCGCTCGGGCGCCTGGGTGGCTCAGTTGGTTAAGTGACTGCCTTCGGCTCAGGTCATGATCCTGGAGTCCCTGGATTGAGTCCCGCATCGGGCTCCC